TAGACTGAAAGCGGGCGTTCAATGACTGTATGGAATAAACCGCCGGCGCTATCCACTTTAGTGTGATTAAGTGGCCTTTTTTAAGCCGATAAAACGCAGGGACTTTGTCAGGCTTTTGTCTCGGTTCTACAGGGATATTGAAGACCCATAAACGTTGACTCTAGATCAGCATGTGGCCAATAATGTGCATGCAAATAGCAATTCATATTTGTTTGGGAATGTTTAAACTTCAGTCAGATTTGATTAATGAACACGTTCTGTAGTATGGTTTTGAGCACGCTCGCTCGAAAGTCATAGAAACGAAATCCCGACGCCCGGTGTTGCAGTCTCCGTAGGTCGCGCGTCGTTGGCTCTGCGGCTAACTTGGCAGTGGCCAACAGGCGGACGAAAATTATGACGTATCTGAAGGAAGAGCCTTAAGCATTTTAGGACATCAGTTTGCACGTTTAGAATGCAGCCTGGTCGGATATTTCGTCTGGGCGATGTTTAGAGTGATAACGGGACCGGATTAGCATTTACAACGCCACGAGCTAGAGCTGGAATCTGGTGGTGGAGCTGGATGGGTAAAGTAGAATCTCTGCATTTTGTATTGCTGCAACTGTTGTTTATCCAGAGGACATCCTTAGCATTATGCAGATTAGTCATACGCTCCAGTACAATCCTTGAACAGTATGAATGAATTTTAAAACTTTTGAAAACGTAAGGCATTTCACGACGGCTGTTCTCGCGCACCCAAGCCCACCACTTAGTCTTTCCGCAGCGGCCGACGCCGTTCGGTTTTACGGATACTGCAATCTCAGCCGTAGTTGTTCTTGCCTCTGATATTTCTAGCGCGCAGGCTCAAAACGTGTATTTATTTTTTGCAAGTTGATTCTGCAAAAGGATGGACGTTTTCAGCAGGCGTGGGCTGGATTCTTCTTCATTTTTATGCCTTTTCAATCTCCCTTTTAACACTAATGAGCCACCTTTGCCTTTCCCAGACAAGGGATGTGGTTGGTAGAGCAACAAGGTGCACGTTATTGTTTCCGGCCAAGGATTGAATGGCTATTCCGTCGCAGCGCTGGGTGCCTACCGGTTGCCATTCTGGTGAGACGGGGTCGGTGTGCAGTGGTCAATCCGCAGGCCTTTTGAGGCACCTGTATCGTACATTGGTCTCTTCCCTAACGCGGGAAAGCTCTCTGATCCAGGCGGTTGACCCCAGATCGATGCAGGAACCCTCTTTTGAAGCAACAAGATCCCTGATCGCCGCAGGTGGTCCAATGATTAGCACGGAGACGCTGTTAGACTTTGCGGGCCCTGCTGAAATGGGATGGAGGGGCTACCGCTCTGTACTGAAGGTCCTTGCTGGCACAGGGCTTTTCCATTGTCTTATTGTGGACTCGCATCACGCGCTCTCATATCTCCTTTCATTGTTAGAGAGCCCCAACCTACGCAAGAGGCTCTCTGACATTCCTGATCATTCCTTCTCCTTGTCCAGCAAATGTTCCTCTCGCCGACTCGGGATCCCTTACCGACACAAGGCGCCCCACTTGACATAGCACCCCTCACTTTTGTAGGGGCTCCGACCAAGGCAAATCGCGGGCCCCGGTCTCGTCCTTGTTTGGACCATAGGCACCCAAGGCTCAGACCGACACGGAGCCGACTGCTCGATGTTGGTGATGTCTGGCCAAAATACGGGCCCACACTTTCCCGCGGGGTCTCCTTCAGTGTAAAAGCTCCATTGGCATTTGAGGTCATGGCCCTACGACGGAAGTCCTTAATGAGACCCACAGCCAGCCCTTCGGGCTCTTCCGCCTTTCAGGCGGGCCCTTGATCTTTGGTCCCGAGGGCCCTTCGGACCTCTCTTTGGGCTTCCTTCAGTCCCACTCAAACAAAAACCCCAGCCGACTCAGGAAAACTGGTCGACACGGGGCTGCCTGTTGGTCACTGTAGGCCCCTGACCGGCCAGAAGTCCTGATTGTTTTAGGGTCCCCGACCAATACAAATCATTGTCCCCGGCCTCGTTCCTGCTCGGCAAATGGGCCCCAGGGCCCAGACCGACACGGAGCCAACTGTTAAGTGTCAGTAGTCTCTGGCCGAAATAGAAGCTCTCACTTCTCAGGGATTTCACAGCCGGTGCAAGAGACCCTCTAATTGACATTCGAGGTCACAACCCTTCAGACCGGGATCATTAGCGTGATCTACGACCAGCCCTTCAGGCCCTTCCGCCTTCCAATCGGACCCTTGATCGTCGGTCCCAAAGGACCGATCGGGTCTCTCGTGCGGACCCGAGACCCTCTGCCACACAAGACCACCTTTTGGGCACTGCGGACTCAACAGGGGGTCAACAGATATGCCAACAAACAGGTTTCTCCTCAGGTTTAGCCCACTTTCTTCCCAATGTGTATGTGTGTGCGTGTGGGGGGGGGGGGGCTGAAGCCCTTCCACAGTTGAATTGGAAATAACACCCCTAGGATCAAGTCAAGATTGGGGATTCAGGCTCCCCCAAAACAAAAACATACAAAGTGCTCGCCAGCATTTGAAACGGCCAACAAAGGACTGAACCGTCACTGACCCCTCGGCCCGAGGGGCTCCGGTCATTTCCAGACGGTGGCCATGGGCAAAAATACCTCCCCTTGGCGTTAGCTAGTTAGTGTAAGCCTACCTCCCCGCCGTAGGTTTATAGTTAAGTCGCAGACATTTGTTATGCTCGGTAATTGTTATCACGTTCCCGTTTTGCTGCTGCCTTGTCCATGCTCGTACAAAGTTGGGTGATTTGGTGGTAGCGTCTCTTGAGTTGTTTCATATCTGACACATATGCGACGTTTTTTGTTAAAATGGACACTTATACTGTACATGTATAGATGGTGGATTTGAGTGTTGGCTCGAGCGATAGTGTATTATGTAGTCAGTGCAGTGAGCGAATTTTTATTTTTATTTTTGCGACGTGCTACTATACTTCTTTTCGTTTGCGAGACCCCAGTCTGAGAATGGCGCTCGATGGTATTGTTTCCTCAATTAAGGAACAATCGGCAAAGGTTTCATTTGATTCAATCAAGCAGGGAACTCAAAACATCTCATCTTCCCTATCATCATCATTTAAGTCACAAACATCCAAAGTCAGCGCAGTATCAGCAGATATTGCACAGAGGTTTAGAAATGATCTGAATGCGTGGAGTTCCAGCCCCATGATTTACGCTTGGAAACAGGAACGAAACAAACCACGGCTTGGAATCGGTTGGCCATTCTCAAGTGAAGGAGCCAAAGCACAAAAGGCACCTGACGCTCAGGCTGATAAAGTAGTTGATGGACCAACCGAAGAAGAGTTAGAGAACATAGTAGATAAGTTCATCAAAGTGATCACTCCCAATGTGGAAGAGGAGCAACAGCAGGTTGTCCGCAAGAGCTTTAGGCACATGCGTGATTACAATTTCTATGTGAGTTTCCTTGATGTGGGGCCAATGATGAACTTTGAGCTCATGTATAATACATTTGGTCCAATGTTCTCACATTTATCACATTTGTCATGTCTAGGTGCCATTTGTTGAACCTGAAGTTAATGTTTTTCTTTTGTTCTGTGATCACATTTAAACTGTTGTAAATTATGCTCTTGCACTACACTTGAATTAATGTGCTCCTTATATTTTTAATGCATGTACCACAGCAACAGCATGACTGAAGGGAGAATCTATTCTTGAAGTGTGTCTATGGCCAGATAAGATGAGGTACAATTAAGAGTTTTTTAGCATTGTAATGAACACATTATTGTAAAAAAATGCAATGCAATAACTTCACTAAGCTTGTTTTGCTTGCTAGAGCCCAGGTTTCATGAAAAAGGATAACTAAAACTATTTTTTGGGATGGCACTAATAGGCTCAACTTGATTATTATCAGAAATTCATGCTTCATAGCCATGCTTGGTTTGGTATGGCTCATGCTGGTTGAAAGGAAAAGCATCATACCTACCATAGGGTTCATGCACTTCTTTGGAAAGTCATAGGCTGATACTGTGTGTGGTACCACTTCCAACAAAAATGTCATTTTCACCACAGCACAGTTGGCAATGTACATAAGGTGCCATGACCACAACAAGTTTTGTTGAATGCTTATTTGAATTGTTTATCTAGATGTAAGAGTAAATTCAATTCAAGCCAGAGAGACAGCTGAACTATTTGTGACTGATTGTGTGGTAGATATTGATGCTTGTCATCTTATAAAATGTCAGTAACATTACACTTTCCTGTCATGGCCTTATTTTGACTATGGCATGAAGGGGTTATGTGTTGTCTTACAGCTGTGCAGCCCTGCAAAATTTCATCACACAAGGCCTGCATTTGGTTGGGGATGATTATTGCAGTAACCATGCACAAGTACCTGATAATATTTTAAGATGTGTCAAGCATATCAACCATCACATCCCTGTCACAGCTTATCACATCCAATGCAACAAATTGCATGTGTGCACCAGCATCTTTGACCTGAAAACGAGGGGCAGTGCTTATATGCCAGACACTGCCTTGTGTGGGAGTGGATGCTGTGGCACCACCTCCCCCTCTCCGCAGCAACGCAATGATCGTGAGATGATCCGACGGAAGCTGGCCATGGGCCCGGAGTCGTGACCACCTCCCCTCTCCGCAGCAGCGCAATGACCGTGAGATGATCCGACGGAAGCTGGCCATGGGCCCGGAGTCGTGACCACCTTCCCTCTCCGCAGCGGCGCAATGACTGTGAGACGATCCGTTGGAAGCTGGCCATGGGCCCGGAGTCGTGACCACATCCCCCTCTCCGTAGTGGCGCAATGACTGTGAGACGATCCGTTGGAAGCTGGCCATGGGCCCGGAGTCGTGACCACATCCCCCTCTCCGTAGTGGCGCAATGACTTGAGATGATCCGTCAGACGCTGGCCATGGGCCCGGAGCCGTGACCACCTCCCCCTTTCCGCAGCGGCGCAATGACCGTGAGACGATCCGTCGGAAGCTGGCCATGAGCCCGGAGTCGTGACCACTTCCCCCTCTTCGCAGCGGCGCAATGACCGTGAGACGATCCGTCGGAAGCTGGCCATGGGCCCGGAGTCGGACGAGCCGGGCGCGCCGGCGCTGGCGGCGCGCGCCGGCCGCAAGCCCAGCCTGCAGTCGCGCCTGCAGGGCGGCATGAACCTGCAGATCTGCTTCATGAACGAGACGGCCTCGGACGAGGAAGACGAGGATGAGCTGGGCGGCGCCGGCGGTCTGCTGGCACGCCGCACCTCAGGCGCCGCCCAGCCGGAACCGGCCGCCTTCCAGAGCCTGCCCGTCGACCTCAACGACTGGGTGCGTGGTCCATGCCAGTCAGGGGAGCCTGTTCGTTCCAGCGCCTGTTCAGCTGCGCTGGGGACGGGGGGGGGGGAGGGTGCCGGTATGCGATGTGGAGCGTCGCCAAGGCTCGGATCCTGGAGTGTAGTGGGTGGAAATTGTATTGGGCATTGCAAAGACAATGCAACACAATATTGTGCATTAATTACACGACTACACAGAAATTGAAGCTCGTGCATGCACAGCACAAACATAAGTGAGTGGGATGCATCAGCTATGGTATGCAAGCAAATTTAGGTCAGCATTTGTTGTAAGACATCAATATTCAGTTTACATGCTGTGATGGTGAACCGCCCAGCCATTTGTCACATCACTGTAGGGCCCACTTGTCTCGACCTTAACACGCGGCCCGTCGTTTGACCGCCTCCCTCGCCCGGCCGGCAGCCCAAGTTCAGCCAGCCGCCGGCGGTGGCGCGCGAGGCGGGCGAGCCGGCGCGCACGGCCGACTTCGTGCGCCACCAGGCGCAGCTGCAGACCGAGGCGCGTCTGGCGCTGGCGCAGGCCAAGCAGATGGCGCGCATGCAGATGGAGATCGAGCGCCAGAGTCGCAAGAGCCCCATCTCGGACGTGGTGCGGCTCGCCTTCCAGAAGGTACGGCCGGCCGCGCGCGCCCGAAGTCCGGGGAGCGAGGTTCATGACAGCCATTCAGTGTGCTCTCCGTACGCAGTATGCCTGTCCCCAGTGTGACGCATGCGGTCCGCGCTGTTCTGGTGATCGGTGGCATCAGCTCACCTGTCTGTTTTAATGCCTCCGCTGATTATTTGTCTCCATTTGATGTGTTCTGGTGATCACACTTTCAGCTTTGAAATTGTGGTTTTGTTGTTGCCTCTAAACTCAGGTCACCTGAGATATTTCCAAAGTTTTTTTGTTATGTTTCGAAATATACTACAATCAACAATCCCAGAGAAGAGCGAGCCGTATTCATGGAGATCACATCACGGGAGACGGGGGGGGGGGGGGGGGGCTATAGTGAAATTGGCCCTGATTAAAGCCTGTGTTACTGATAGTCCCATGCTACTGTACTTTAATGGCGATTGGGTCGTTCCAGATCGGAGTTCCGTTTCCGGACGGTAGGCGGCGTGTCAGTCGCCAGCTGTTGACTGAGATGAACATTGCGCAGCTGCAAGTAATCGTCAACGATTTTCACACAAGGATCGAAGGTGATTGTACAGCGTATGCACCGAGCTGCGTGGAAGTCCACGAAAGACCGATGTGACACTTCTTTCCACAATATGTGGTCGTGTAACTGTATCCGCCCTTGTGTTCCTGTCGCTTCGTATCTATCGTCGTGGTGTCTTACGTATCCTCTTGCTATACCCGCCCGTGACGTGTCTGTGTCGCCCATGCGCCGGATGACTCCGCACCTGTCATCTGCACCCCCGTCTTTCTTGTCTTTTTCCGTACGCTCCTGACACCCTTTCGCCGCCGGCCGCAGGTCTGAACGAGGCGCTGGTCCGCTACTTGATGGAGCGCGACGAACAGCACATGGAGCAGGACTCGAAGCTGGTGCACATCGAGGACCTGACCTCGTACTTTGGCCAGAAGCACCAGGAGGCGGTGCCCGAGCCGCCCGCCGCTGCCGCTGCCACCGCCGCCGCCGACAAGCGCAAGCCACGCGCTCCGCTCCGGGTGGGGATGGGCAGGGCCAAGTAGGCGCGCCGGCGGTGGCGCCCGGCGGAGCGGAGTGCTCTGGTCAGTGCAGCGGCCGGGAGCGGTCGGACAGCGGCCGACGATGGCCAGTGGGTGGCCAGCGCTGGTGACCGATTCCTGTCGGCCGCGACCGCGCGGCTCTCGGCTTATGTGTGTGTGTGTTGGGGGAGGGGGACGGGGCCGAAGAGGGGTGTAACGGTGACGGGCGCGTGGGGTGCGGGGTCGTTTGGGGCGAGCGAACGTGAGCGGGCGGGCGGTCCGAGTGAGACCCGAGATGTCCCGCCCCGGGGGCGCTCAAGGGCGAGTGTGATATGTTCGCTTTATGGGCCGATGAACGACGTGGTGTGCATTTTATCGAGCTTACTCTAGGCGCTGACGCGTGTTGTCAGAGATATCCCGCCGCCACAGGTATAACAACCTCTATTGAACATTCTATAACCAGTATTACTGTTTGTAGTCCAGGATGCGCGCCGGACCACGCTTGTGCGCTTGCGTCTGGTTGCACAAGCCTGAGCTTGTCGCCGACAGTGTGTTTGTGTGCTGAAGACGAGCGCCCACGGGCTGGCAGCGTGGACGGCGACTGCGCGCTGCCGCACAGCCGCACGGAGGCGCGGCCGATGTGGGCTTCAGACGTGGCACCTCCGCTCTCGTTACAAGTACGACTCAATAATTTTTATACTTCATTTTGGCACGCGCGCGGTGTGTTTGTTTCCATGTTTTACATTCCTGCCTCGGCTCTGGCGCGGCGGCCGCCGTTGCGTCGGGGTTCTGCGGGCTGGCGGCCCCGGGATGCGCGTGCAGCCGCCGGGCTGCGCCTGCATGTAGTCCTGCTTGCCATTCACGTGTACTTCCTAGTGGCTACGTTCGTTATTAGCAGCGACATGTGCTCCGAATACATTGAACTACCCATATAACTATGCCGCCGCAGTTGTCTCCGTCTGCTGCAAGTAGACAATCGTTAGTAAAGCACGTTTTTATTGTCAAACAACATGCAGTTATCAAAGTAGTCTGCAAGGTAAAAGTTTTGTTTTTCTGTGACGCGTAAGTGTTATTAACAATGCAATCTGTCACACTCTCAGTCTGACTACTGGAAGCACTCACGCGACCTAATTCTACGTCACATTGGCTAAGGACTGAGGCGAATCAAGCACCAGGCGGCGAGCCCGCAGTTCTCGCATCCTACGTTATGTAAATAGGGTCAAGGCACGCGCAACAAGTGGTTGATCGGAGCACGTGCACAGAGCGCGCTTCCACGTATGTTCACAGTATGGTAATACTAGGCCATAGCGGCGGCTATCCTCGCTATGCAAATCAATCCTCAGATTCACGGATTAGGTGATTGTCGAACGCATTTCTTTGTATCATCGCTGCGTATTTTCCACACATTGATTATACTACAGCCCATGCAGTTATTTCAAATAACTTAGCACTAAACTGCGTCTGGCAAGGAAGTAGTACTTTTTAAGTAATTTGGCAAAAACGGTCTTCAACACATTTCGGAAGACACGACGCAGCAGGCGGCCGACAAAGTACTGAACATCAATCCATGATCGGTACAAGACATCACCGATGTCACGCCAGTTTTCAGACGCTTTCCAAAAAAAAACGCAGCGATGGCCAACATGACTGCGCAATCCATAATCCCAACCAACTCCGAATTCCAGACGCCAGGACGATCCAGTACAGGCCAGCGGACACACAAGCGCCAAACGCCCAGACGGTCGCCCACAACAGCCGACGTTGCAGCGGTGCGCGGGTGGCAGACGGGCCGGCGGCAGTCAGGGCGACGACGACAGGCCGGCAGCGGGTCCGCTGCATGACCACCACGGCACGCCGGCTGTCCGGGGAGACACCGGCGGCGGCGCTGCCGGCCTACTCCACCGTCGAGATCTCCCTCTGCAAGAGCGCCGGCCGCCGAGACGCGCGTGACAGACGGCGCCGTGGAGGGACACGGTCCGTCACGACCCGGCACGGAGGGGACGGCTCCGTGACGGGTCTTCTCGCGGACGGACTGCTCGTCACGCGCGTCCGGGGTGTCGGGGTCGGGCGCCCCGGTGCAGCGATGATGCCCGTCACGCACACACGCACACGCACACGCACTGGTAGCAGTTGGCGGTATTCATGGGAGGCGTTGGGGTAATGGACTGACGTCTGCACATAACGTGGGTCGGGCCGTGCGGCTCGTCTGGTGTCGTGTCGTCGTGAGATGTCACCAGGCCCTGTCCGCCACGGGCAGCGAGGAATACACGCCATGCCCGTTACACGCGGCGGAACACGGGAGCAGTACTTTGCGAAGGCATTAACGTACGAGCCCATTGTCCGCCACGGACATCCAGTCACAAAACTGGCGTTCGTCACGACATCGATGCACGCGGCCAACCTTTGTAATATGCACCGTGACATATCAACTGCCCCGGCAGGTGATTAGTAACAGGACCCCCATTGTCGTATGAATCAAAACAGGCGAGCCGAAAGCCTAACATTGTCAAGTCCAGTGTTCTTGGAATCACCACCCAACATGACAGCCTGTGGGCAACATATCGGGCAAGCGACGCACCTGGCCAAAAAGATACAGGCTTGACTGTCATGGAAGACGATAGTACGCAGCCCAATCACTCTTCATTCTGGTGGCACTGGTTTACACCACTTACACTGTGGTAGCAGACTTTCGAAGCATAAAGCAAAAGTTTGACAGCCGTCTATACAGGCGCGGCGTTAGTTTCAATGTCTGATATACCATTAGTTGAACTACGGACCACATTCTGTGGTTAAAACCGTTAGTCGTTTATTCGGTCACTGCTTGTTCCGGTTACCAAACACTTCCAGCCGGTGGGACTGCCTGGGGCATTAACTAGTTAGTCGACAGGTCAGTTGTAAATATCGTTGACGAATGTGTACATCAAATGAATTAAACCCGCCACCGTACCAGCCCGCGTTATGTTCCATCAAGCTGCCGTCCCTCAGGCGAATGGGAAATGCATCTCAATTCACGGAATAATTCCAACCCAAGCCTTTTCAGCAGCGCCTGATGGGTCTAGACTGGAAAAATGGAGAAGAGACCACTCGACAAATCAGATCTTACCGCAGCATGCATACATTACCATCAAAAACTTTAAAAATTCACATGACGATGCGCGAGAACTTTTGTCTTTTCAAAAGTAAACAGCTGGTCTCACGTGAAAGCACTCGCCATCCAGTCTTGGTCTCAATTTGTTTCCCCGTAACAAGAATGAGCCATTCCATGCGCCGGAGGTGACGGTGAGGGTGAACGGCAGCTTGACAGATGCAGCGGTCAATTTCGACGTTATCGGCAGGGCCAGTGAGTCGGTTATTCGACACAAATCTGCACAAGACGGTCCTTACTACTCGGCCTCCATGAACTCGGCGGAAACCATGCCGGGACCCTGACAAAAGACGCGGCGTTAGAGGCGCTGTCCAGTGTCGACCTCAACGTCCGGACTCGGCTGCCAGCACGGCTCCGAGCTCTCGTTAGACTATCGCACAGGGAGGGGACGAACATGACTGCTTAAGCCGGGGAAACGAAGCAACAAAGGCTGGCGAAATACACCCGAAATGGGCTACAGGGTTTGATACAAAAATACACGCGAAATACACGCGAAATGGACTGCAGGGATCGATTTCGTATCTACGGGGATAGATACGGAATCGATCCCTTGATGGCGTAGGGAGCAAAGGCACTAGCCATAGAGGCACTTGACAACTGGGATCAGTGTTGGCACGGTAAGGACACAAACGGGGGGGGGGGGGGGGGGGGGCGGGCAACCGTCACATACCCAATTACTCTTCACACACACGCAGTTCCTGAAAACAGGACAATACATCTCAGCACGCAGTAAAGCTTTAAGCTATGCACAAGCCAGCGTCAGAAAGCCATAGTAAGTAGACGAGATCGGCCTGATGCCCGAATGGCCTTCCCCAATGCCACCATCTGTGCCAGCCTCTGCAACGGGCTGCCAGCGGCATCGCCGCCCTGTCTCCACGGACAAAACATGTACAAGCGCCAGCGACTCCAGTCACAAACGTCTCCAACTGATCCCGAGCTTTGGGTTAATGCTGACGCAAGCGTTACATATCTGCAGGCCGGAGCTGCGGTTCGTTAACGCAAAACGCATGGTAGTGGCAGGTGGGCATTGCGTTAGCCGCCGCGCGGACGTAATAGGGACTACAAGCGAACACAGATGGTTGTAAATGCCATAAATGTGGGAGAATTTTAACATCAGAGCCACACTGCACAGCAGGTCCATCGACAATTTCTGTACACAATGATGTACACTGAGGCACGCCACGACAAACCGTCTGAAGGGACTGACATTTCTAACCCGCTTAGCTGTAGGAACCGAACGCCGCTCACACGTGACGGCTGGTGCATGCGCAATAAAATCGCTATCTTCCTAGACGCATTATTTACAGCATACCGATCTAACCAAGCTCTACCAGCACTAGCCAAAAGACCCATGTAGCTTGCAGAGAACCTTGGACGCCGTCAGGAGCTCGACAAACCGCATAAAAAACGCAGCCAATTTATGCGATTCGGACAGCATCACAAGCACCAAAAACGCACCAAAACGGCACAGACTCCAGCCCTCAAGCGCCATTAGTTAATTCTACAACGGACAGCTGGTTAGCACCGTCGGTTACCAAACAGGACAACACCAACAGAGGTTAGCATCCTCCCGACGGACAACACGGCGGTAGCCACAGTAGGACTTCCCCAACAGTGTTAGGAGCCCTCGATGACAACACAGCAGTTCCAGATGGCATGTTAGCGGTTTCCAAAAGCGTATTGGCAGCTCCTGCTGACACGTTAGCAGTTCCCGCCGCGGTGTTAGCAGGTCCGATCGGCGCGTTAGGAGCTCCAGATGACCCGTTAGCAGCTCCCGGCGTCGCGTTAGCAGCTCCCGGCGGCGTGTTAGCGGCTCCCGGTGACGTGTTAGCGGCTCCCAGCGACGTGTTAGCGGCTCCCGGCGGCGTGTTAGCAGCTCCCAGCGGCGTGTTAGCGGCTCCCGGAGACTTGTTAGCAGCCGCCGTCGGCGCGTTAGCCGGCGGCGGGCTGGGTGGCAGACTGGACCGCCGTTCTACAGGTCGTCTCGCCTCACCTCGCTCTCGTGCAGCCGCTTGAGGCGGCGGCGCAGCTCGTGCGGCAGCTTCTCGTAGCACTTCTTGCACACCTGCCGCATGGTAACACATGCGATCACAGTCAGCATCGTCACACGTCACAGTCAGCATCGTCACACGTCACAGCTAGCATCGTCACGCGTCACAGCCAGCATCGTCACGCGTCACAGTTAGCATCGTCACGCGTCACAGCCAGCATCGTCACGAGTCACAGTTAGCATCGTCACGCGTCACAGCCGGCATCGTCACGCGTCACAGTCAGCATCGTCACACGTCACAGTTAGCATCGTCACGCGTCACAGCCAGCATCGTCACGCGTCACAGCCAGCATCGTCACACGTCACAGTCAGCATCGTCACGCGCCACAGCCAGCATCGTCACGCATCACCAGTCGTCACAGGCATCAGTCACAGCCATTGGGCAAGGCCCGTAGACGACACAGGCGTCGACGTTGCGGGGTCAATCAGACCCCGCGGACCCGGCGGTGGGCTGCACACCATCCCCACCTGCTAAGGGAGCATCGAAAGGCGTGTAGGTTGGTTCAAAAAAGCTGTCAAGAGGCCGTTGATAGACCCACCATGACTGTTAGTAAACTGCAGCGGAAGTCAACCCACGCGATAAGCATGTCAGTTACCACGTATCGATGAGTCTATCAGTTACCACGCATCGTCGAGTCGTCAGCTACCACATATCAATGAGTCCATCGATGAGTCTGTCAGTTTAGCACAAGTCTCTTCCGGCGCAGACCCACATGCGTGGGGTGCATCTGTCGTGACCGTGAAATTTTATAACCGACTCCCGCCATCCCCAGCACACCGAACGAAGGCACTCTGACGATCCAACCCGACCAGCTAGATGCGCTATATGAATGCACCACAGGGTGAGACCAACTGAAGCCCCATCGCTGGTTGCCCCCGCCCCTTGAACGGCCGCGTACCGGTTTCATGTCCATCTCGAAGAACTTGGACTTGCGCGTGAGCGGCTGATCGCAGACGCTGCAGGCGAAGTGATGCGGGCACCAGGCCTTGTTCAGCGAGCGCACCACTGCCGACAGCGCGCCAGGCACATCGTCAGCGACAGGCAGAGGAGGCGATACCGACGGAAGCACCGAGGCCACTTACTGCACCCAATGAGCGATCGGCACCTACCTTACAAGCAGCGCTCTGCGCCATAATTGGTCGGATACCAAGCATGGTGGGTGCACAGCAACTATGAGTCATACGCGAGACAGGCATGGTAACACACCACACGCTGCGCCCGGAATTGGAACACCCGGGGGCGTTCAATGCATGTGGTCGTTGGAGCAAGATGTGACCAACCAAGTCACGGGCACTTCAACCTGCAGTGCGTAAAGCGCACATAAACCCTACTTTGGCACAGATGGTAGCTTCCCAACTGGCATAATGACATCTTAAGCGACACATCCCATAGGCAATGCAGTGAATAAACAACGCAACGGCGCGACACCTCACCTTCGTCCTCGACGACGTAGTTGCACACAAAGCAGATGTTTCCGAAGAGCAGGTGGTAGTCGGTGCGGCAGTACGCCAGACCCTTCTTCTCGTAATGGCGGTGGCCCAGGAAGGGCTTCTCGCACTTGGCGCACACGAAATGCTGCGGAAGGGGGCATAAGGTCAGCCAGCGTTTCAGCTAGTGTACAGGCGGGTATCCTTCTATTGCATCTGCCGGGCCCACCACCAGGGACACAGGTCTCAAGCGTGCTACGTCAGCCAGCTGTTTTTTTACGCGATGTCACCGGAGCCAAGCCGCCAGCGTAACGTGCTGGCGAGACCGCACCTTTCCTTGGAAAAGCTGGAAGCACCGCCAACACACATACCACGCACCTAGTGTCGCACTATATGCCAGGCCCGGCCATGCCTCTCGCAGCACGTAAATGTGACGCCGCGCGCCGACCAGTGACACACCGCCAGCGCGCGGAGCCGTTGTGAGAGGCTGTGCCGGCCGGCCCGCCCCTGCGTGACATAATGTGAGAGGCTGTGCCGGCCGGCCCGCCCCTGCGTGACATAATGTGAGAGGCTGCGCCGGCCGGCCCGCCCCTGCGTGACATACTGTGAGAGGCTGTGCCGGCCGGCCCGCCCCTGTGTGACATACTGTGAGAGGCTGTGCCGGCCGGCCCGCCCCTGCGTGACATACTGTGAGAGGCTGTGCCGGCCGGCCCGCCCCTGTGTGACATACTGTGAGAGGCTGTGCCGGCCGGCCCGCCCCTGCGTGACATACTGTGAGAGGCTGTGCCGGCTGGCCCGCCCCTGCGTGACATCATGTGAGAGGCTGTGCCGGCCGGCCCGCCCCTGTGACATAATGTGACAGACTGTGCCGGCCGGCCGCCCGTGTGACATGCTGTGACAGACTGTGACAGCGGACACCTCACCTCCACGTGCCAGTTCTTGCCGAGCGCGGTGACCACTCGCTCCTCGATGGGCCGGTGGCACGCGCCACATATCGGGATGCCCATCTTGTCGTGGCAGCGCAGACAGTACAGCTCGTTCTGGGGACACGGGCGCCAGCGGTGAGGCGGGGCCGTTGACTGCACCAACCGGACAGTCTAACGGGTGGTCTATGTCACACGGCCTATGTCGGACGGTATAACTACATAGCAAGGTGAGATATCCGGCCTTCAACAGCTGAGGATGGGAAGTAAATAATCCCAAATACTTTAAAGTTCATCTGAAAACTTATAAGACCCACAGACATTCGAAAAAGTGTTATAGAAGGGCCCATCGCGGGTAAGCAAAGTCGCAGGGAACTAGTGAATGACAATATCCTCCCCTTCCAAACCGGATCTAGGCACATAATACAGGCCTGTTATGGTGGTGTCCTCCACGCTGTAACACCTCTCTAATGAGCAGCCGGACCCAGACCTGCGACGGCCAGCACCGACGGCCCCCACGGCGCCGACACCCGGTCCGCGCCACGGCACGGACCAGGGCGTGGTCGTCGCCCCGCCCCTCACCAGCTCGACAGGACGTGTAGCCGGCGCGCGACTTGACCTCGCGCGCGCGTGAGTCCAGCTCGATGCCACACGCCTTGCAGTTGAAGTGGTACGGGTGGTAGAGCTCGCCGCGGAAGCGCAGCGGCTCCCCGTCCACCACGGCACTGCGGGCGGCAGGAGCGTCAGACAGCGCACACCGAGGGCGCGCCAGGGGCGATCAGAGACCCCCGGTCGCCGGTCTGGTGGTCTCCCTAACCAGGCATAGGAGAAATACTGGTCAGGTGCGCAAACACATGGCCACGAATTTGTGTAAGGTCTGGTTAATTGGTGCCAGATTACACGATAACAAAGATGTGGTCAATCAGCAAAAAGTCGCTGCCTTGCATTTTAACGCCAGGATGACCAGATCGCATCTGACGAATAAGAGGCTTTTTTTGCCAGACGGGATCACTGGGAATGACCCACACCACTCCGGCTACCATTCACGGAAAGCTGGGCACCTCCAGCCGCGAATCAATCTACATCCCACTCTGTTCGGAGATAGGGACATGTCAAGCTACGAAGGGGCAGGCGCTACACCAGGCGTCATCACGACTCGATGCTGTTGGAGAACGCAGCACGAGTCGCACCAATCGAGCGCAGCGGAACACAAACCAGCACACACGGTGGCGTCACTCCAGTCGGACCCAGAGCATCCACTGGCCCATGACCGGACCGTGCTCGAACCAGTACCGGTACACATCCCCGGCTGTTGTGCGCAGATAGTTGCGCGGCGGCCGTGCAACATATTGTACGCATATTCACTAATGCATCAGAATCGATAGCTTGGAACACACATGTCCTACACATTTTGTTCCATCACAATCCTGCCGGGCGTCCACCAGCGTGCTCTGCATTCACCACAGCCATCGCGTCCCAATCCCGCTCACAGCAGCCCAGACGTCCCATTCGACGTCTGCGAATACAGTGGTAACGACGCCACAAGAGGTCACCGCTGACCGGCCGGCCTCTGAGTACCGCCAGACGCCCGCCGTGCCCCGACCCGCCCACCCACTCACTGGCACTTGTGGCACATGTAGCGGCCCGTGCCCTGCAGGCGGATGCGCGCATTGCAGTCGTGGCAGAGCGCCTGGTTGCCGTTCTTGATGAAGCCCAGGTCGGCCAGCTCCTTGCTGCACATGTTGCAGCGGAAGCAGGCCGGGTGCCAGCTCGCGTTCATCGCCTTGATGACGCGGCCGATGATGAACTCATCTGGCGGTCACACGTGGCGGTGACGTCATACAGGACGGGCGGTGACGTCATCGGTTAACAGGCAGCTCCGTGGTCATGCCAATGATGATTTGCGCCTTTTTGCCGGACTCGGCCCAAAAACAGCCGCAAATGTAGCAAAATGACGAAAGGTCTAAAGCACGTTTCCACCACCCCTTGGCTTTCAACATCCCAATGCATGTTATGAAGTCCCTGTCCTGGACTTCATAGCTTATCACGCATAACGCATGGCAGACTGTCTAACTTCACCGTAACGGGGACACAGACGGCCATGACCCGTACCCAAGAGCTGGCATCACACACAAATCCAAAGCAATGATATCCAACACCTCCAACAGCAGGCGCGGTGACCGAAAGCGCAGCAGCCGCAGCAGAATACGCCACTCTCCGACCCCCGCTGGCCGAGAGCGCGACTCCCGCAGCACGAGACGCCCTCCCCTCCCCCGCCCCCGTCCGAGCGGGCCGGTGCCGTACTCACTGCACTGCTGGCAGCAGGGCGCGAACAACACCTGGAAGTCATGCTCGCAGTACTTGCGCCCCTCGAACTCGTAGAACACGCCATCGGGGAACGGCTGGAAGCACTGGGCGCAGACGAAGCAGTCCGGATGCCAGAGCTCGCCGGCAGAGTTGACGATCTGCTCGGACGGGTCGAAGCCCACCTCGCAGCGCGTGCAGACCGCCTCCCCCAGCGGCATGGTGACCCTGCAACGCCGCATGACAGCTCACGGCGCAGACAGCGGGCCCCGCGGTGGCACAGTCACTCTGCCACATGACAGTGGGGGCACAATGGGCGCAGAAACAGCTCCGCCAGTGGTACGGCCACTGCAGCGTCGTGCAGGGATTCAATGCAAGTCCGCCTAAGCAGCCTTCGCCGAACTCATCAGCGAGCACCCGTGTAAAACGACGGCCTACCACGACCACTACTTACTCATGAGGCACCGCCTACCGCGAAATCACCGCTGCGCTGCATGCTGTAGAGCGGGAGGTGGGGATGATCTAAGAACCGCGTCCGTACATTCTACCAAAGCCTTGCCCTCCCGCAAAACAGCGCCGGGCCAGCGGCGTGGCAACGCATAACTGACGCACCGCACGTGACATCAGGAAAACGCAGGTGCTTTGCGCCGTGCTGCGGCGTACAGAACATGACATGAGCTGGGGTGCGTACTGGCATCAGCGCGAGGAAAAGGCCGACAGCAGAGCAGTGAGCTCTCAAGGCAGCACTCATTCGAGAGCTGAACTCGGCCTGCTCGTCCCATCGCACCCGAAAGCCACCTCGCTTTCACAGGGGTCTCTGCACCACTGACGGCGCCCACACAGTGACGACAGGGTCGTGAGCACCCCCGCCCCCCCCCCCCCCCCCGCCGGCGGCCCGTGGTGTCGTGCCGTACTTCCTGGCTCCGGCGGGCACGCCGCGCTCCGGTCGGCCGCCGGCGCCGCCCGCGCTGGTGGTGGCGGCCGAGCGCTGCGGCTCTACGTGCGCGTAGTCGCCCAGCTCGTCACTGCAGTGGGGAACGGGGCGCGAGCGGCGCCGGTACAGGTCGCTCTGATCCATGTGCAGCCGCGGCGCGGGCATCGCGCGGGGGCTGGGCTCGCGATCGCCACAGACGGCCGCGTCCCGCTCACGGCTCCGCACTCGCGGCGTCCGCGTCCCAGCCACGTCACGTCCTCACTGCGGGCGGCGGCGGGCGCGTCTCCTCGCGCCGCACGGGACGTCCGAGCCCAGCCGCTGACGTCAACTGCCGCGCCGCCAGCGGACGTTCACTGGGCGGCACGAGGACGAGATGGCCGGCAACAGCGGGCGTCAAGCGTACGCGCGTCGCAGCGGCACGCGTCGCGCTCGCCGGCGATAGTGCCACCGCCGGCGTGGCCTCCTCGGCGGCGCTCTGTTTGCTGATGCCCGCCGACGGCAGGGGCGGCCCGAGCGGCGGCCGCGTCGGCGGGCGGCGCGACCGGACGCCGCGCGCCCGGCGGATGTGCGCCGACCGCGGCGGCGGCAGCGCCGGCCGGACGCGGCACAATCGGACGTCGCGGCGGCCGCAGCGGCGGCGGCGACGGCGGCGGCGGCGGGCGGCGGCGGCGGGCGGACGGCGAGCGTCGCGGACGGGCGCGCCCGACCGTCGGCGAGCGCGGACTGCTGCCAGGCGTCGGCCGCTCCATGGTCAAGCGCTGCGGCCGAGCGCGATAGCCGCCGCCGGAGGTGTGGCGGGTTGGGGCTGGCGCCTGATACGACGCTATCAGCCCGCCTTATCCCAGGTCGACGTCTGCAGGAGGCGCCGGCGCCCGGCCCGCGCAGAGGCGTCTTGGCGAGCGAGGGGTGTGTGCGCGCGTGCCCGTCGCCGAGCGATGGAGATCAGCTAGCCGACCAGAGGCCGACAGGTGGGTGGCAGCCGGTGTTTACCGGAGCTACAGGCCCGGCCGTTGTCGACGGCTGGTGCGCGGCGCCTCGACAAGGCCGGACGCACGTACACATACGAACTCAGGCGGCAGCTGTCGGCGCTGTTTACTGCGATGCATACAAAGCGCCATTGTGCGTTCAGCATGGACTACTACCGCGATGACATCCTTCAGCACAGGCTGCGGGTTCCTTGATGACTCACTTCCCTAGCGGCTGTCGCAGTATGTTGACTGTTCAAGATAATGACGTAACTGGCGAAGTAAGTAATGCGACCGCATGTGGTAGACCCGGATAGCTTGAGTTAATCGAGAACAATAGGACAATCTGGGGGGCGGCTATGTGTCCAGAACAGCATGAGAACCAATCGAAGGACCCACTTAAATAAGACAATGGCCAGACATGCCAAAAACAATGGCGCAATCAGACTGACAAAAAACAAGTTATCTGCTCGAGGTTGACCAGTTCAAAGAGCTGGTTAGAGCTATCCGTAACGCACTCCGGCTGATTTGCGAAATCTCCATCCTCTCTGGTTGGACCAGTGTTGCCATGTCCCAAGCAGACCGTGGCCGTGGCGACTCAACACCAGCCTGGCAGCCACGCTCAAAACTGTTGTTAAAGTTGTTAAAGACCTGTGACCATGCGACAACATTTACATCACGGGCAAAATTAACCACAAAGTGCGTTTCACACACTACCAATCTCTAGCTGACACATCAATGGTCCAACAATGTAAGACCTGGGTCTTCCCGCTTCTTAAATAAGCATGACTCCATATCTGATTTATGACAATGCCACGTTCGGCCAAAGCTTCCTGATTGCGAGTGCACGTCAATGCACAATCTTAAGGATGCATTGAAACTAAGGTGATTAAGTGACTGCATCAGAATCATACTTGAATGACAACCTTTTTTAAGATTCAGTCCGAGCCTCTTGATGCGATATTGTTCGGGCATCAGTGCCCACGCTAAGAAGTGTTCGTTAAATGACCCTTGAGCTCACCATCTATCGCGGAATAACGGACATCGCCCCGGCGCTGGGCACTGTCTGTTCTGGCCTCGGCCATCACCTGACCCTCCAGAAGGCAGGCACTAACAGCATACCATCCTAGTGTCTGGCTCAACATTGCAGCCATGTACAAGCAATTGGCTATTATTGCATATCTATATATGCACAAAAGCGATGCTCACAATCTAAAAATAACACAATGACTGCAACATAACAGCAATATGTGACATTCAGAATGTCACTGCAATTTTTGATTTGGTGTATGTTGTGGGGGAGGGGCAACTTGAGTGTTGTTATGGGGGGGGGGGGGGGGGGCAACTTGAGTGTATGTTGTGGGGGAGGGGGCAGCTTGAGTGTATGTTGTGGGGGAGGGGGCAACTTAAGTGTATGTTGTGGGGGGGGGCAACTTGAGTGTATGTTGTGTAGGGAGGGGCAACTTGAGTGTATGTTGCGAGGGAAGGGGGCAACTTGAGTGGTCATGTCACTTCTTTCCTAGAATTTCCAACACCTTATTGAGCATTACAGGGATCTAAAGCAATGGCAGGTAGGAAATTGCACACAGATCAATGTAGGCCTTTGGCTGCCATTAAACATTGATCTGATTATTAATGGCAGCATCATTTTTTGGATGTGTTGGCACACAGTTTCCAAGTATGACACACATTCAACAAATGACACCCAAATAAACAATCAAAACAAGCCTACCAAAAGTGTAAAGTGGGATACACAAGACTGCTGAACTTGCATAACCATTAGTGACAGCTATATAGGTCCAGATTTTTCATGCAGAAGATTTTTGAGACCACACCAAAGCTTTTCAAGTAATAAGCATAAAATGAAGTGTTGATGACATGGTTAACATAACATTATGTGGATCAATAGCAGCATCTTACTAGTATGAAATGTTAACTAAACATTGTTTCAAGCATTATTGCCAGAACACACCACTTCAATTCATCCAATAATATGATTCCCCATAATGCACTAAAAAAATAATTTAGTTTGATCTGAACTTTACTTTTAAGCAAAGATGTGCCACAATGAAGTTCATTTTTATATACAATAGTGTGCTGGTAAGGGGCTTTGTAGAAACATCTGTGGACATTTATTTGTATACAAAAATACATGACATGGTTGAAGGTGGCATTATGCTACTTCACCAGCTACAGCACTTTTTCACAGATGTTACAGACTGCTTTGTGTCAGGCCCAGCAAATTTAATGACATTGAGATTGTCTCATCATCACAGCAGATCACAGCTAACAATGCTCTCTTTGAACTATACTGATATATTATTGAAACCATATATTTGGGGCATTCATATGATATGGTGAACCAGCCTGGCTCACTGCCAATAACATAATAAGATTTTTATCATTTTAATAGCCAAAAAGCTACATACACCATTGTCCAAAGAGGCTTTCCAACAAAAAATTTGAACAGCACATTCCTGCCAGGTTTCAAGAAACAAAAGCACATTTATATAGAAGGCATGATGCTGATAATCTCAAGCTATTAAGCTCCAAGATTAGTGTTAGAATCAGTGAGTTATGTTCTTAAGCATGGTTAATTTGAAAGTCTGTTAGCTCAGTGTTACCACAGCTACACCACAAAATCACTTACCCAGGCATGTTGATAACTGGATGTCCTGCAACATTGCAAACAAAGCTTGATAGCAATAATACTAGGACCATGAAGTGCTTTAGACAATTCTATACTTGTAGCTACCCAATCAAGCTTGGGCAGCTACTTCCATGTTAGTCAAACTGCTCAAACCAATTCAATATTTGTGAAAACATAGCCATCAGCATACATACCAGGGTACAAATGACATAACCACATAGCATATTTATGGAAAAATACATTCTTATCAAGATGCTTTTAGGATACCACTTACATAATACACCAAACTCCATGAGTACTTATTTCACAGTTTTGTCAGAATATCCCATGGCTTGTGCAGCAACTGAGCAGCTGTTATAGGAAAACAAGTTGAGCTGAAGTTTAAGTCATTGGAAACAGCAGAGTCATTGGAAACAGCAGTTGAACTGTAGGAGGTACTTCAGGTATATCTAAGATGCAGTAGGATCATTTTCTCACATGCTCTATCTGGCACTATAAGCATAACCAATCTTTCACCAGCTAAGCCCTTTGTCAGGTCTCCGGGATATTACATTTGGCATCTGGAAAACACATTCATGCCCACCCAAGGGTGCAGTTTTGCACAATGAGTTGCTGGTGGGCTTGAGCAACAGGCCACAAAAATGAAAGAAATACACTGAAGGTAAGTAACAACATCAACACACAAACTTAACTGCCTGTACTCAGTGAATTGAAAAACATCTGAGTTTGAAAGATGGATGCCATTAATTTTAGGGATAGAGAGCCAATGTTCTTGAAAATTATCATGTGATTATGAAGTGTAAGGTAAAAACACTCCACTGGCATTTTCCCCCAAAATTGACAGCCATGTGCATTTTGGTCTGGGTTTAGTTTGGAACATGATAATGCACAGTTATGTGCACCAAACCACATAGATGTCTCTCTGGTGAATTAATTTTTGATACCTTGCTGAGCAGTGAAAATTGCTGCAACCCACCCCAAAAAACCTAAAATATGTACCCAAATTGGGCCTACCTAAATTAAGCCCACTCTTGTCAAAATTGGGGATGGATGACTCAAGCCCATCATGGCTTAGGCGCATTTGATGGGTTCAGGAAATCCCCCAACCAAATAGCAAACTACACCCCAGTCTCTGAACCACATTTTGATGCAGATTACAAACACTTGCTGTGGGAGCTACATGCAAGCATGAGTCATGCAGCTCTCGAAAACTTGAACCTTCCAAAGCACATTATGAACCTGCTTTCCCGACGCATGCTCGCGGGCATACACTGGCAAAACACCTGCGCCTGGACCCTGATATTGCCTTTTACCACTTGGGTAACATCGCTTGGCTTCTATTTGCAGTTATGAAAAACCTGTGAAAGTACACTTTCATTCACATTTCAAAGCTTGGTGGTGCATTCCACGCTCACAACACCCCTTACCTAACGTGCTCCCACCGAGTAAACGCCAACGCCCCTCCGCTGGTAAACGTCGCTGGAACAGATCGTGGGTCTGGGCTTTGGGTTGGGTCGAGAATAGCTGTGGTACCTGCTAACACGAGCTCTCCAGATCCAAGCTTGAGGACTTGGCTAGCCCAGACTTTGGCAGGCTCCAGCCAGAGCGATTGATGATCTTTATCATAATTTCCTTGTAATAAATCAATACTTCTTAAATAGGCATCATACATTTTTGGGGGGGCATTTGAACCATAAATGTGTATTGAATTTCATTAATTTTCTAGTAACAGCCAGGTGTCAAGAAGCCATATACATAACATAATAAGCCTTGGCTATTTGTGTACAGATTGATGATAAGCTTGGCTGTATATTCATATCGTATCCATCTGGCAGATTATGTTGTAAAATGTTCAAGGAACAACTAGTTTCTTTTTCAACATGCACCAATTCGAGCATGATGCATAAAAAATGGCGTCCTTAAAATAATGATGCATGTTTTAATTTAGAAATTGAACCTAGAGGGCTAAAATTTAGTTTTTTTCTATATCAAATTTATCAAAACATCTTGAGATTCGTGGGCTCTGAGATGCGCCGTCGTTTGCCGCATCGCTTTTGAGGCGCTGTATGTATGACGTGTGTAGATAATAGCGGGGTAATTTGCATCGGCTTTCCAGCTAAGTAAGGAGAGGATCGAAGGACATGTGGGCGATTTAAGTGGACTTCCATTCGGTAAGATAGCTCAACTTTACTATGTTGTGCTTAGCTTATTGTAAAATGTAACGATGCGTATGAATGTAGCTACTTTATGTTTGGGTCCTTCCCATGATAATGAGTGGGATTGTATGCATGAGTGAAACGAATGACTCACATTGTATTGATACACATAATTCATGCAGACGATCCAAAGCTATGAAATGCTTGTAGTACGTCATCTTCAGCTAGATTATTGCGATGCAGCTCCTCTGTACTTGTGATCACAGCCAAGTTAGGTTTTGTGGCAGGTTCCTATGAAAGATGGATCACTGGCATTGCTAGTTATGCTACAGATAGGGTAACTGCTTGGAATAGGATTCATGAGATTGAGATAATATGTCAGACAGAACTGACTAGTCCTACTCTGTAAATGACTCCAGTTACCATGTCTTGGCCACCAACGGGGCTAGCAACACTAATTACTTCTTATTCTGGACACATGGATGGACACTGAAATCAGTGGATTAAAATTCACTATCCTCATGTCAAAAGGAAGTGTAGCTGAGAAAAAATATGTGATGCATTGTGCGAACTGCCCTGGATGTAGGCAGTCATTAGGGCCTTATCAAAGTTTTACACATAAATGGGGCCAGCATGTCTTTATATTGCAGTCCTTTTATAACCAAATAACCATCTGGTCAGTCTGTCAAACAACCAATCCTACCATGTGAGTAAGTCAGACAGCTGCTCCTATGTTAAGTATGAGCACAGCTTTTTGTGATATTACATGACTCATAAATGTATGGCAGAGGCTGCTTGGTCTAGGGTTCATATAGACTTACCCAAGGGGCAAGGCCCCTTGGGTTAACCCAGTGATTGGGAGAAAGGTGCATTAGGCAGCATCTCCTTAGGATTAAATGTTTTCTGTATTCTTGGCATGGCATGCAGTAAAAATTCCAGATGAATATAACTTGCTATATGTCATTATGACACTTAGTACTTTGTCATTTTGGTTGTTCATGTTCTGTTTTAGAGCTTAAGAGACATCAACTGTGTGAAATGTACCTCTGAAAAGCATGTACATTTTGTTGTTCTGCCACCTGTTTCTGAGACCAATAGGAGCAGTCTATGTTATGCAAATGGGTTGACTAAATTATTATCCAGGAAGATATTTCAGTACATATATGCATGTGCCAGGTAGCTAACTCTTATTATTCTTTGCAACAGTCTTTTTATAGACTTAACTCATTCTCATCAAGAGGCAAGATGTAGTTCATGACTCCAATAAGATGGAAATAATTTAACATAATAAGTAGCTGCCAAAAGAATGGTAAATATGGTGACATACATTTGAAGCCAATGATGCCCCTGAACCAATGTGAAAGGGTTGTAGGGCTTCATGTTAATGGCAAAGATGCAAGCAAACTAACACATGTAGATTTTCATATGGGGGGCCCATTTCAAAGGGAACCCATTTTGTGTTAATGATTTTGCCTGGATTTTCTATCTTATTCTCTGCTGCAAAGTTATGAACTTTTTGTGGTTAAGAAAATAAATCATCCTTTTTGGTAGATTTACCCTTTCAGTGCTAATATTTCACCTGGAAGGGAAATGCATGTATCAGGCTTAAAGGTTTTAACATATTTCAAAAAGGCATGAACATGATTGGAAACCACACTCAGTAGTCCAGACTATTTAAAGGTCACCCAGGCATGTGTGTCACCCAGGCACTATATAAATATTACACACATACTGCCATCTAACTAGCTGTTTTCCAGTCATGGTCAAAGAAAACATAATCATCAAATTGCTTGGTGACAGGTACACCAGCATGATCATGACATCAATGGATGGCAATTGGCCCACAACCAGATAAGTGCATCAATTGCAAGCGTTGAACGTTAATCACGTTTTGTGCTGCAGAGTATGGGAATTTGGGTAGTGACACTAGTTATGACAAACAGCTGAGAAAGTTTACTTTAGAAAAGCAGGTAAAAGAGCATGTGAATGCAAATAAAAGCGATAAAATCGCGAACAATACACAAGATTACCACAAGAAATGGCCAACTCACCCACTCATACAGATATTTGGTTTCCACAAACACACCGTAGTTAATAAGCCACCTCTCGGTAGGTTAAGGCGCTACAAGTAAGTCAGCTCATCTGCTTCTGAGGCAGTTCTGACATGGCCATCTGGGAGTGACTGACTTACAAAAACATAATATCGAAAGCAGTCTTTCGCACTTAAAGCATACCATTAGATAGAAATGTGCGTATTGCATCATAGCTGATGCCTCAATATCCTAAAATTGGGAAAATTCCCTTTAAAACCATGTCTGTAGCCACTGTGATTGTAATACGCCATCCCAAGGCGATGCATGACAGGTTGTTAGCTGGTGAGAGATGCCCTCCAGCCCCCATCCCACCCCTCCCGCCACATTCCTAGCAGAAGTGGTCATTGGCCAGGTCAGTCCAGTGAGTCGCCTTCCTGGCTCCAGTCCTGTAGCAATTGCACTCTCTGTTGCTGTTAGCTGTTCATACTACGGCATGCCAGTGCGCTGCCAGGCACACATTTGGCAGCACTGTTCCATCAGTTCAGGTTGTGCTTGGCACGAGCTGTTGCCTAACGGCGTGCCACGCGATGGACAGGGCTGTTTGTATGCTGGGCATGCCCATCCGCGACTGTTGGTGGTGCTGCTGTCACTGGCCGGTCGGCCGGCTGGCCTGGCCGACTGGCCAGTCTCAGGTCCTGGGGCCCGCCGCAGGGCTGTGACCATTCCTCGATCAAGCGGGCCGTCCGTGGCGAGTCAGACCTGCTCAGCGAGGTGCATTCGCTGTGCGTGTGGTCCGCACTGTGGCAGTTTTGGACGGAAGATGTATTTCACACGTGGTCGGATGGTGTGCATGCGTGCACTGAAATCCTCCTCCGACGCCTTGAGTCGGGAGAATGGAAGATCATCTCCGCTAGCTCGGCCCTCACGCTGCGGCAGCTCCCCGCTACCGATGTCACACCGCGATGGTGCGCTCCTCCCGATGGAGGGGGTTAAGCGCGCCTCCGTCGCCGCCCGTATCTGACCTGGCTGAGCAATCTGACCAGATGGGGCAGTCCGGGTTAACTCCGCTAGAATCTGCAGTGCGACACCTGTCTCCTTCCTGGCGGGGCGGACCGCCCGTATGACCGTGAGGGCTGCAGTCGGACCGGGTGGCGGCTTTCAGAACTTGGTGCGTCCTTAAAACTTCTGGGAACAGTGGATTCTTGGAACGTTGTGAAAACGAAGCTTCTTGGCACGTTGAGTATGCCAGCGTTGAACGTTTGGTGCAAAGAACATGCTCCTCGAGCGCGAGGATGTGTGGGTCTGGTGGCAGGCCCGAAAGCTCTGCTTGCTCAGCAACTCACAAACTTTCGTCCAGACACGCGGGTGGTGCGTAAGCCCCGTCTCCTCGTCCGTAGAGCCGTGGTCGGTACGGTTCGCGGCAGTACTGACTCCTGCTGGGGCTCGTTCTGTGCATTTTTCCGCATGCCTGCGATTGGTACATCAGCTTGGATGCTGATTCATCCCAGGGCAGACGGTTCGTCGAGCAAGCTCCTTGACGACAAGCACTTGGCTGTCACTATCAGCAGTGGTTGAGCAGCCTCAACGCTGAGGCCTGACTGGTCGGTCGTTGAGATGCAGCGTGTCGTAAGCCGAGCGCGTGCTTCTGCTCTTCTGTTTTCGCCAACCTCGGCCTTGCAGTCAAAGTCATCATGGATGTACGCCGCGTGTGCCGCTCTCGTCTGACCTGTGTGGCTTCACCGGGAGTAGCTTCCAGGCATCATCTGTTCGTCCTGGCTGTGACCGAGTGATGTGTGGAGCTGACGGACGGAGCCGACCGTGCGGGATCAGGTCAGCGATGTAGCCGTTCTTTCGTGCATCAACCGGCTACCTTTGAAGGCGACGGTCGTCACCGCCCTGTCGTTTGACGCTGGGGGTGTCCGAGCTTAAGAACGACACGTGCACCTGCTGTGGTTGGCTTCCACCTCTCATGCTGCCATCCAGCACCTGAAAGCGCTGAGGCACGGCTAGGTTGTCTCAGCGCACTCCTGCCGGTTGCATCCACTGGCAAGGCTGGCAGCGCCGTCTTCGTACAGCTGTTGCCGTTGCTCGCCCCGACATGTTTCAGCAGGTGAACCACAGAGGGGGTGCCAAAACATTTTCCTGCGAGAGGTCTCTTGCAGCACCTGTTGACGCGAGCCTGCGCGTCTCCAGCGGACTCGCAGCCATTCGCTCTTCAGCTTGGCTTTCATCCACCCCGTAGCATTTGTTGCATTCTTAACATACATAATGTAACCTTCCAATCGTTTGGTCGAGCATCGTTCGGAGAGGGACTTATCCTGTTGCATTGTATCCTATTTATCCCATAGAAAATCGTACATTTGTCAAGGGAAGACAACGGTGGCGGTTTTGACATTTTGAACAGGACTCAGTGCAGTCGTCTTTGAAAAAGTCATGCCAGTAATCTGCCTCGTGTGGTGGTGATGGACTGCAACGTTTCAAGTCATATCCTGCTGGAACGTTGGGTGATCTTTGCTGAGTTATCTGAATATAATGTGTTACGCTATTTAGGATGGGCCGGGTGGCGTAGTACGTTATGTACGCCATCAGACGTTTAATGTGGGATGCTCTATATTATTCTGAGTGCATTGCTTGACACACCACGGCTCGGTGGATTCCCTAAGGATGTAAGCCTGCGTTTCTCTGCCAGTGTCGTGTTTTGCCCAGTACACCAGCCCCCGGTGGTCATCATGCGCCCGTCTCCCCACCGTCGCCTGCCGCTGTTCTCAGGGAGAACTAGCAAGGGGCCGCCATGCCGCTGTGGGGCAAGTCTCAGAAGAACCCCGCTGATGTGGTGCGTGCCATCCGAGACGGCCTGGCGACGCTCGAGAGAGGCGACAGGAGAACGGAGAAGGTGGGCTGGGCCGACGGGCGGGCGTGCAGCGTTGCCCCGGTGCGCCGGGCTATGCGACGCCTATGTCATAACGGGCAGTGGGATGTTTGGATGCGTGCAAGCCTGCGTCATGCGGTTTTTGCCTTGGCTTGTCGCGTCGGGATGTTGTTGCCAGACTGGCTGCTCTTGGGCTTCATGTGATGAATGGCCCATCACTGTTGCTAGCCGAATAACGACTTCAGGTGGCAGTTGTATTGCTTGACACGTGGTTGCAGTTTACTAAATGTTATAAGCTCCTGTAGACTGCGGCGATTTGCCATCATGCTATGCAGGGAGCTGGTGCAACTATCACGTATGGCTCCTATAGCAGTGAGCTCAGCTCGCCTGTGTGACTCGCGTAACGGTGAGCTGAGCTCGCATGTGTGGCTTATGCGGCGGTGAGCTCAGCTGGCATGTCTGGCTCGTGTGGTGGTGAGCTCAGCTCGCATGTGTGGCTTGTGCGACGGCGAGCCCAGCTCGCATGTGTGGCCCGTGTGTCGGTGAGTTCAGCTCGCATGTGTGGCTCGTGTGGTGGTGAGCTCAGCTCGTATGTGTGCCCCGTGTGTCGGTGAGTTTCAGCTCGCATGTGTGGCCCTTTTGACGGTGGGCTCAGCTCGCATGTTTGGCCCGTGTGACGGTGGACTCAGCTCGACCGCCGACCTTCGTCAGGCACTGGAGGACGTCAGCAAGAATCTGGGCTATGCGAAGACGATGCTGTTCGGCTCGGCGGACCAGGAGGCGCAGTCAGAGCACCAGCTAGCCAGCCTGGCGCAGGAGATGTACAACACCAACTTACTGTACATGCTCATCAGGAACCTGGCCAAGATCGACTTCGAGGTGCGTGGTGACGGGCGCCATCGGCCCGGTTTGGAATCGCAGATTGCGCGTGTCGAGCTATGTTTGGTGGTGGCGTGGGGAGGGGGGGGGGGGGGGGGTTACTAAGGAACGAGTGCTGACTCACAGATGTCACGGCCTATGGCAACGGAGATATATCGATGTGTGAAACGTAGGGCGGTGAGAAGAATATTGCTGTCTCATGACGAACAAAACCAGAAACTGGAGTGTCATATAAACATTGCAATATCGGACGCCAGAAGTACCTCTCACTGTGTGGAGTGTATTTGCTTTGAGCGTGTTCAGATGACTCGGCGGGAGCCGAATGCAGATATCGACGGAATGTCGTTTCGCCCGCACTGTCCGCTGGTGGGCCGATCCAGACCCGTTAGTCGTGCGTCGGCCGTGGATGAATGCTGCCGGGCATGGTGTCATGGGCGGGGTTGCATCGGCGCTGGACACGTAAGCGATGTGCCGCGATCGCTGGCGAGTGACCCTGCCGGCGAACCCGGCCGTGACCCATGGCGTGACGTGACACCACCGGCGTGGCGCGCCGTCTGCGTCCGCAGGGCAAGAAGGACGCCACGCAGATCTTCAACAACATCCTGCGCCGCCAGATCGGCAGTCGCTCGCCCACCGTCGAGTACATCTGCACTAAGACCGAGATCCTCTTCACGCTGATGAAGGGGTGGGTCACACGGCCGCGCGGCGGCCGAGGCCGGCGCTGGCGTCTGCGGGTGTCGCGTTCGGGAGCACCAGCAACCCGCCTTCAGCAGGAACGCCCTCTAGAGCCAGACTGAAACACGGGCGGGAGGCAGTGTCCATATCATGCTGTTGCGACCGCGTAGATATTATATCTTCACGTCAGGTGAGGAACCTTAATCTCCCAGAGGTGTCCGCGTGAACCATCCACGAGGAAGCCGCGTTTCGTTTTGTGCCGCCGGCTGCTCCGCCCACCGCGCGCCAGTGCTCTCCCGAAGCTCACCGGTGGCCAAGGTCGCATGACGCAGTGCGCTCGGCCACACCCCCAGGTACGAGCAGCAGGAGGTGGCGCTCCACTGCGGCAGCATGCTGCGGGAGTGTGCCCGCTATGAGCCGCTCGCCAAGATCATGCTTCACTCAGAGGAGTTCTACAACTTCTTCACCTACGTCGAGGTCTCCACCTTCGACATAGCGTCCGACGCCTTCTCTACATTCAAGGTGAGAGGTGGTTCTGATGGCGTATGCCAGGGCTTGGTTGTAGGCGGTGCGACCCCTAGATGCGACCTCCCCCACCCCTCCTCCCAGTCAGCATAATGGAACAAGAACTCGTGCTATGATCCTACTCAGCATACTACGGCGCCGCCGCTGCTATTTTTTGCGGGCTAGAGACAGCTGAAAGTGGTGAATGTGCTGCAGCTGTTGTGCGCCCGGTCTGTGTGAGCGGAGGCGGCACAGTCATCATATGCCGGCCTCCCTGTACCTCCTGGTACTGTGTGACTGGTGCGCGGCGCCAGTTGGCGGCTGGCGCGACCGGCTGTAGCGCCAGCTGGGTCTGCTGTAGCGCCAGCTGGGCCTACTGTCGCGCCAGCTGGGCCTGCTGTCGCGCCAGCTGGGCCTGGGCCTGCCGTCGCGCCAGCTGGGCCGGCTGTAGCGCCAGCCGGGCCTACTGTCGCGCCAGCTGGGCCTACTATCGCGCCAGCTCGGCCGACAGTGAGCACCCCCGACGCTGTCTGGCGCGAGACGGGCTTGCTCCCTCGCTCCCACGATAAGCGCGTCTGGTGTGACTGGCCGGCCCGGCTGGCAACGGTGGGCGGCCGGACTGCGTCACGAGGAGCGGGGGTGCCACGACGGAAGCAGTTGACTCATTGTATTAGAGCCACTGCTGGGGAACGGAGTGAGGGTCTACTGGCGGCCTCTGCTTGACTGAAAGCTTTCAACGATTTGATGTCCTTTTTGAGAGCTGTACTAGTTGCGGGGTTGTAGCAGTTGTGCTGCGCGACGATGACAACACGGTATTCGCGGAGCTGTAGGGGCTATTTTGTTTATGTGTGTGTGTGTGTATTTATTGTTGTTTACGTGTTTATGTTGATAGCTCGGACTCAAGCGTGTATCGCGTAACCACCAGGTACGCGAGCATGCGGTGAAATGAGTCCCTCAGACGAAACGGCAGTACTAAATTTTGCGGGCCATTGGACATGGACATGGGACATGGACATGGCATGGCACATGGACATGGACATGGACATGGACATGGCAGGTCTCGTCATTCCAAGTTGCGGCGGAACATGACCGAAAATTGTCGACGGCGGATTTGAAATGATGGCTGCGGTCATCTAACGCCGAGCTATTTTACCAAAATGTTGGCCGGTTATGACGGGCGCATGTATGTACCTATCAACAGGGCATGACCAACGCGACACAAGAAAATGGATTGCCGTTTGTTAGAACAAAACGATTTATCGTAGTGCCGAATGAAATAACTGAAATGTTAGCTTTCAGTTCTTATCGTTAGTTCTTGGTTATCGTTATTTATTTCTAGTTATCTTAGTATATCCATTCCAGTTTTGACCTGTTTCTTTTTCAGAACATACACGCAAAATATGGTTCATCTGCCTAGACACATGACGCTAGCTACTGTTGGAGCGTTGCAAACTGCAGTCATCTAACTTCCTGCCCTTGCTTGCAGCATTGCTATGATGTCTAGCTGACACTGAAATTGCTATATTCTTTTGTTTTCATAGCCAATCTGTTCGCTAAAGAGCGCCGATTTTGTCTCACCGCTGTGCAGGAGCTGCTGACGAAGCACAAGATTATGTGCGCGGAGTTTCTGGAGACCAACTACGACCGGGTGTTTGAGCAGCACTATAAGCAGCTGCTGCACTCGGAGAACTACGTCACGCGACGCCAGTCACTGAAGCTGCTGGGCGAGCTGCTGCTCGACCGGCACAACTTCACCGTCATGACCAGCTACATCTCCAGCCCGGAGAACCTGAAGCTCATGATGAACATGCTCAAGGAGCGCTCCAGGAACATCCAGTTTGAGGCGTTCCACGTGTTTAAGGCGAGTTATGCGTTGGAGTGGATCCCAGTTTGCCAGGTCACTGCTGTTGGCTTGTGACCCGCAATACGCTGTTGCTGTAAACGTGCCTTATATATGGTTTCCGCGCGTTATTTGGGAAATCTGTCCGGGGTCCATGGGTAGTCCCCAGGAAAGGTCTGTATATCAACTGAACCTGGAGCGCCTCGAGTGTGCACAGCGGAAGGTTCCGCCGGTAGTACGCCGGGAAGATGTTTGACTGGAGTGGTTGTCGCTCCGCCGCTTGCTGATCAGACTGCGTTGGATTATCCAGGGCAGTTTGATCCTGCCAGGGGCCCAGTCCCGAAGCCTGCCGTTTCCTAATCGCCATCAGTCACCAGATAAATGGTCGTCAGGTGACGGTGGCGTTCTCCATTTCTAGGTGTTTGTGGCCAACCCGAACAAACCGAAGCCCATCCTGGACATTTTGCTGCGGAACCAGGAGCGGCTGGTAGACTTCCTCACGCGCTTCCACACTGACCGCAGTGAGGACGAACAGTTCAACGACGAGAAGGCCTATCTTATAAAGCAAATCAAAGAGCTAAAGCCAATGTCGGACCAATAGTGACTGCTTGGCGCCAGCTGCCAGCCGCGGGCGGCGGCCAAGTGGAATTTCTCCGAGACGATGGCAGATGGCGGCGCGAGAGTGATGAGCCAAAGCAGATGCCAGTGAAGTCTGCCGCAAGGTTGTGTGATTGGTGCTAACCCTGCTTCCACTGCCACGCCGCTGCTGCCGCGAGGCTGGGCGCGTCACAGGCCGGGAAGCACCGTCAGGCGCGTCCGCAACGCCAAACCGGCCGACTAATGGGGGAATTAATGTGTTCGCTCGGCGTGCACAGCAGCTAGATACCTTGCCTGGCTCTCCGATTATCAGGTGGTGTAAGTGCCCACGGCAATGATCGCACGTGTATGCTAATTAATATGGTGATCGTCGGTGGCTGGTGGCCGCTGGCCGTGCCTGTAGACCCGAGGGCGATGCGGGCGGCGAGCGGCCGTGCTGACGCGGCGCTGGGCCCGGGCCGCCGCCCACTAACAGCGTGCGGGGGCGTCGGCGCGCGTCGCCTGTGCATATCCGAGGGCTGTGGGTCTGCCCGCCGTTTGTACTCGTGATCGCATGGCCAGTGGGCCGTCGCCGGGCTGGGGACCGGCCACGGTGGTGGGTCCCGATAATACAGCCCGCTTACGAGGGGTGGATGCTGTGGCCGAGCGGACAACCTGCGGCGCCAAACGGATGTAACAGGACGGTCGTACCGATGCGTGTATTCTCAAGACTTTACAGTGAATGGGTAACGCATTCGATTTAAGAGCTAAATTGAAAGACTAGGCACGAGTGACTAGGAAGGACTGTGAACAGGACTGATGTGAAGCGCGCATGTCGGCCGGAGCGGCCGCTCTGTGTAGACAGCCCGCTTGAGTCCGGCACGGACTCGGTCGGTCGTGGCGCCACCTGTCGGGCCGCCGGTGCATGGAGCGGCTGCTCTGTGTCACCGGTCGGGCCCGGCACGGACTCGGTCGGTCGTAGCGCTGCCTCTCTGGCCGCCGGTGCTGCCCTCAGGCGGTGATGCCGGCAGCGGCTGCGGGCGGGGCCGACGGGGCTGGTGGGGTGTCCTGCTGCCAGTCCTCCCGCGCGCCGTCCGTCCAAACGGGCTCGTATGTCTCTAGTCGCTCCAGCAGGTGTTCCGAGTAGCCGGGACTGTAATACCTGTCGACGAGTGCCGGCGGCCGGGGTCACGCCGGCATCCCTCATTAAAACTTAGCGCATACGCTCGCAGCAAGCAAGTTGTTGACCAGAGCAGAACGCTGTGTTAAAGACAAGCGCAAGGATTGCGCTGTATCGCGTTAATCGTGCGCCTGCATGATACGCGTTATTTTACGCCCACTGAGGAGACACACCCACTTACTCCCACTTAGACTGTGGTAAAAGCAGGCGCCTGACGGCCAAACGTGCCAATCCGTTCGCTCCTAATGCAAGCAGGAGAACCCATTCACGAGGTTTGGCGTGTTGGATTACGTAGCGCTTCGCTCTTCTTGTTGATCTGAATCGCCAATAGTTCGGCACGCATCGGATGGCGTCGCTGTTTAGAGGCAGCAACTTCACCAACATGCCGGGAGTAGTAACACCTCACCTGACTATCTCCTCCGGGAAGCAGTTGTTGATGGTGTTGATGTACTCGCGCAGCTCCGTACCGGGCTCCGCCTGAATTTCCTGCACCTTGCGCAAACAGCCAGAGGTGACGAACTGACGGCGCGACTGCGGGTCGTGCGGTAGTACCTGCGGTGGACAACATATGGCGATAGAGACGATACGGCCGACAGCCGCACGGCGAGTGACGCTCGGGGTAGCCAACAGTGGAAGTGCGACCCACCAGCTGGTTTAGGTTCGCCCTGACTTCGGAGCGGAGATACCCATGTAACGCTAGGTGGAAATGACAGAAGGTGGAAAGGTGGAAAGAGTGCTTGTATTAATGGGTAGGAGGAAACGGGGAGGGGAGAGTCCTGAGTGTACAACAGTCGGATGTAACGTGGTAAGCGAGCGAGCGAGAGAGAGAGCGAGAGAGAGAGCGAGAGAGAGAGCGAGAGAGAGAGCGAGAGAGAGAGAGCGAGAGAGAGAGAGAGCGAGAGAGAGAGCGAGAGAGAGAGAGAGCGAGAGAGAGAGAGAGAGAGAGAGAGAGAGAGAGAGAGAGAGAGAGAGAGAGAGAGAGAGAGAGAGAGAGAGAGAGAGAGAGAGAGAGAGAGAGAGAGAGAGAGAGAGAGAGAGAAGAGAGAGAGAGAGAGAGAGAGAGAGGAGAGAGAGAGAGAGAGAGAGAGAGAGAGAGAGAGAGAGAGCCTTGTGAGGTCAAACAATGATTGCGTTCGAAAGACTGATGGGTACCAGGGAAGCTGGAGCATAATTCTTCCGACCAATTGGTGCTGGAAGGGTCAGCCAATGTCGGTTATCTGATTCCCTGGTCGTCGCCAGCTGAGCCCACAGCTTGGCAGGCCACCCGACCCAGCGGCGGTCGATCAGCCAGGGGGACTCTGGTCTGGCTACCGTCCTGCCCTGCTCCACAGCCAGCTGTCTGTCCCCGCGATCGCATAATCACAGCCGTAATCGAGATAGACGCCCGGTGTTATCGCCGCGCTGCTCCATCATGAGGCGCTCGGTCGATGGCTGGATGCCAAAGTTCGGACGGACCACCCAGCTGACGGCTGATCGGCCGCCGCTCCATGGCCCGGCCCCGAGCGATGATTTCGGGTCACCGGGTGAGGGCTTCCACTCCCGTTCCAGCCGACGTGTGATAAACCAACACGGTTACCGCGAACCGAAGCCACCTTTACGGCGCCCCACGAATCCCGCAAACTGGTCACTTTTACAGCGCCCCACGGCTCCCGCAACCCGAAGCCACTTTTACAGTGCCCCACGAATCCTGCTAACTGAAGCCACTTTTACAGCGCCCCTCGACTCCTGCAGCCGGAAGCCCCTTTTACAGCGCCCCACGAATCCCTCAAACTGAAGCCACTTTAACAGCGCCGCAGGAGGTACGAGGGTTGACAGCCCCATGCAATGACTTGAATTAATATGGATAGAGCATTAGGATAAAAACGTGCGCGTTGTTCGTGGTCTAAGTTATCTACAGAAGTCCGGAGTTTTGGTTTCATACCACCTCCCGGGTCATAAGAATGGCCTTAATGGGGCCATACTGGTCTTGTCTTTTATTATTAAAAAGGGAACGTGACGCACGTCCCTTTTGTGTCAGTGACCGTAATGGCCGTAACAGCGCTCACGGGCCACGTCGCAACCGGGCCATGGCATACCCGAATCCGCGCTAAGGATTCCGACGCGCTAACTCATCGGCCTTTGCGCCCCCCCCCCCCCCCCCACACACACACATAAAGGAGCAATTTTAGGTGAACTAGCTTGACGTCTGATGATCCCTCGCCCTCAGACACGATAGGGTGGATAAGGCCTTATCATAAACCTTATTTTGGATGAGTAAATAAGGCCTGACAGCACTGACAGCAAGATCGATTATATTTATATAACAAACCAGTCACATGATTGCAAACAAGTTAAACGTACCATCCATTTAGCAGGCACTTGACTGGCATGACCTTGGCAAATGGGTGACTGGTCACGATGAAAATCTTTTCGGACTAGTCCTGAGTAATAAAAGTGTCGATAAAGTCCGTGGTAAACTAATCAACAGGATGGCTTTCCTGGCTACCAAGTTGCTCGAGAAACGACCTAGTGCGAGTCTGCCGGTCCCCTCGCCGAGCGATTTCATATAATTAAATTCGATAAAGATTTCATATCTAGTAACGCCTTAACAAATATTTGCTCTACGTTCGGTTCCTCCCTCACCCATGCTTTACCAAGTACAATTATCACTCGTAGTGGAGAGCGCAAGGATGCTGCCATACGTTTGGTGGGGCAATGCACGTGTCATGCGCAGGTATGTTCAGCCCGCACGGCACACAGCGAGGCCTGGGTGCTGCCGCCAGCAGCGTCCTCCGCCGTGTACTGGTAATTCACATGAGAAACAAGAGTCAGGACAAACGATGCGCTGTCTGGGCGTAACGAGGACGCCTCCCATTAACTGGGAGTGGCTCACTAGCACAGGCCAGCATTGCGGAGGACCCGTGAGACCGGGCGCGTGATTTGCCGTGTCTAACGAGGACATGGGAAAGGCCATGTCAAAACAGTGCTCGTTACAGATCCCGAATAACCTTGCCGATATCTGTTCTTTACTCTACCCATCGTCACAAACAAGGGACCGAAAGCCAGCCCTAATCCAAAGCGGCGCATAGCACGGTATTTTAACACCCAAATTAGAAAATGGATCTGCCCAAGCCGCCGCATTCCCTTCTAAGAACGACACAGCAGGTAAAAGAAGCACACAAACATTAGTATTTCCGTTTTAGTGGTGATGATCTATGACAAAATAGAATACATGAAGAGTGAGATAATGAAAGCAGTCAGCGCCAAACTGCCAAGCATGACGGCTGACAAGCAGCAAGCACCAATGCTTAGGCCAATCTGGCACTAAAGCTTCGGTGACAATATAAAACGATTGCTATGTAAGAGATGATCAAGGTCAAGAGATGCCCCGGTGAAAGTTGTCTGCCAGGCAGCAGCTCCAACAGCCACCCAGCCCGCTGCATGGGATACGACTTCCGAACAAACACGGGGTTTTCTGGACGGCAAAAACAAGATCACTCTCAACTATAGTCGCTCAGGCGACTGACTTTCACGGTACCACAGGCGCTATCTACAGGCGATCACAAGTGGACGTTTTCAGTGGGCTTCGAGGCATCCGAAGCATTCTGTTGATGGCGACACCGAAAAGCACTGAATAAATAATCAGCTCTTTGTAGGCATCACACGAGGTCAAACTGTTGTCCACTTTCCGCCGTCGTTTGTCAGTTATAAGGAGATGTGACTCTCTACGCATATCGGATGTTCACAACCCACCCCACCGCACAGCCTGCCAACACGGGCAGTGTCCGGTCCCGGCCGCCCTACCCTCACTGCGTGACGTCACCGGCCTGTCGCGGGCCGAGGCCGCGGACTGACGAGCCGGTCACGGCCGCGTCGCTGCCGGGACGGACGCCGGGAGTCGCTGTGGGGAGAGGCGGCCGGACGAGCGTCCGTCGCCGTCAGCCCGGCACCGGTCCGTCTGCAGCCCGGCCGGCCGAGCGGCTGCCGGAGCGGGCCCCGAGACCCGGCACCCGCCGGTCCGCGGCCCGTCGACCCCTCTGGCCGGCGGACCGCCCCGCTGAGGCCTCCAGGTCCACGTGGCGATGGTGTTAGTCTTGGTCGAAGGATGCCGACAACTTTTAGTGTAGAGAACGCGGACAGACTTCGGTGACAAGTTCGTCCGTTCTCGGGCCGGAGCTCCGTCTGAGATAGAAAGCGAAGCCTCCGTACGCGTTCGGAGAATACCGCCTGTGGTGACCAAGTATAGCGGACGTGTTGGTCGGGCGCAGCCGCGTCGTGAGGCGGGGCCGACGCCAGCCTGTTTACTGGACGGCGGATGTGATGTTGATCCTATCAGAGCTGGGGAGCGCACAGGCAAATCCTGGGGGCGACGAGTGACAGCGCGGCGGCGGCCGCCTCATCAGTCAACACCTCTATCACGACCAGTAAACGCCGCGCATCGCGGAACTTCAGATTGGCATATCCGCATCCCGCCGCCCGGGCCTGTTGAACCGCCCGGTCATCTGCGCACTAGGCCTGCGCCGGCTCTGCGGTGATTCCCGGTCGACTCGCCGTCGAACTTCCCCGCGGTGGGCTGCGCCGCCGGAGACATACGCATAAACAGTTCCAGGATGCAGTCAGCTGTCTTGCTGAAGCAGAGAGGGTGCTCCACGGCCGGCCGGCGATCAGCGGCCGCAAGTCCGCTCACAGCAACCCGGGTTCCGTCACCCGGATCCCGCTCTAATGGGGACGCGGCTGACGCTGACAGGCAGGCGGTTCGTGTGGCCATCCCACGGGGCAGGCGAGCCAGGCGGCAGGACACGGGGCTTCCCCGCCGGCCGCCACCGCAATAAGACAAAAACGGCTCCCGGGGGCACAGCACCAGATAAGTACCTTGGAAATGACCTGAGTAGAGTAACAGCGGTCGCTCGGGGCACACTTCATTGCATCGACCCCAGCGCGACAGCTGACTGAGATTCTGCTTTTGCAAAGGTCGCTGGGTAAATGCCTTTTCCCGCTTGGGCATTCGGGCAATGTTGGCGGAGATTTCCGCGTAAGCAGTGCGTCGTCTGGGATCAATTAATCCTGTGAGGCTCTCCCAAAATATGCATTCTTATTATGTCAATGTATATGTGTGCATACACACACACACACACACCACACACACACACACACACACACACACACACACACACGCACACGCACGCACGCACGCACACACGCACGCACACACACACACACACACACACACACACACACACACACACACACACACACACACACACACACACACACACACACACACACACACACAGTAGCTTTGCAAGTTTTACCCATCAAGGAACGACTTTTCGAAGACTCGGCGCAATATAGCATGAAGAGACGCGACAGCAATGACATTCTACGTCGATTAGTCTCGGTGCCTTCAAGCCCGACCATCTCGCTCGGCTGAAGAAGTGCAACATGTCCGTACCAATGACTCATGCAGTGAAGACCGACTGCAAGGGCTGATCTGACCACGGAGCAATGGAAACTCAATCAAGGCAGCGCGAGCATTTGCTAGCTTCTTTCCTGTGCGCACTATATAGATGCAG